ATGTTTAAGATATTTAAATACAAATTAATAAAAATTACATCATTAAATGATGAGACATTCTCATTTAAAGGGATTTGTTTTTACATGATGGCTTTGTACAATAAGGTACATGTTGGAAAAAGACTATAGAGAACATATTGATGTTGCAACACGTGATATATGCTTTAAGTCGCTTCTATAAATTTGTTGTTTGTTAATGCAATATTGCACTTATCTAATGCATATGTTTTTTATCATATTATAGAAAAAGGCAAGCAAAGTTGCAAAAAGAATTGGAAGATGCAGCACGTGATACCAGACCTGTCAGTCCCGATCGTTTAAGCTTAAAAGAAGGAATCGCTGGTCTTCCGACAGCAGTGCCAACGAAAGTATCCGTAACATTTGTACGTTGAATCAAATTTAAAGCATTTTATATTGTTCTATCATCAAGAAAATATTAACCAGTCAGTATGTTTCTAATAACATTGAAATACGGAATTGCATGTTTTGTATGCACATATGAATGTTATATAAATAGATTTATATGGAGTATACTATGGAGTATGCTCAATGTAAATTTTATATGTTATTACATTTACAAATATGAGAAGGATATATTAGGGATGGTCACAATATCTATCTGACTGGAGCCCAACCATTTAGACACAAAATTTTTAACAAAATTGAAATATTTTTGATAATAAATGATTCTTTCATTTACAAAAATATTTATATTTTTATACACGGGCGGGGATATATATATTTCACATTTTTAGAATAACGGATAATATTTTTATATTGACGTTATAAAATTAGATCAAATTACCATTACATTTTTTATATATGTAGAGATCGGATAAATCTGATTCAGCAAATGATGATAATCTTTTTTGTTAATAGAGAAAATGTAGAGTTTATTCAGTTGTCATTGAGAATTGGGCTAAAATAGGATTACTTGACTTTATTTGTATAGTTATATTAACTTATAACAACAAACAATTACATGCATACATAAAAGAATTTAACTGCTTTGCTTATCTCTCATTGCGAATTGTATTTCTTTACATAGCAATATACATTATCACATATACATTATCATGTATATACAATACGTGTAACAGATAGGAGTACTGATTCAATGTTTAATAAATTTTAGTACAATAAAGAAAAGATAGTACTGTTTATAGAATGTAATGTGTATTAAGAAGCATAATGTGTTATATTTGTTATTCAGATTAGATTAAGTTTACTGGCCGATCCTAGGGGGGGGGGGGGTTGAAACCCTTCCCTTCCAAGTTAAAAAAAATCAATTTTGCTGGATCCGTTTCAAGAATTTTGGTAAAAAATGCATTAAACGTTAAAGCAGGTCAAAACCCCCCTTCCATTATCGACATCAGGATCCGCTAGTGATTAAGTTATATGCTGCTTTATGTCAAAATCGTATAAGATACTCTTATTACAAACTTCCGTATTCCGAGCTTCCCTATTTTTTTATTTTCTTATTCTTAATCAGCTGAATTTCCTAAACTTTATTTCTCCTTTTAAATTGCTCTCCTAGACTGTCCGATTCCGATCAATAAAATTATGCATCTTCTATTCTTTGGCTTTATTGTTACGGCTTTTGTTGTTTATTATTTTTTTTTGGGTTTTATATTCCAATTTAGTAGAGTACAGAATACAGTTTAATTGCTGCTTAATTAAATTTAAGAATAATTATTGCTTAATTAAGTCACATATTAAATCCGAAAAAATTTTCTATTAACAAAATATACTTTATAAAAAATTACAAAATTTATATTAAAATAACTTGCAATGTATATTATTTTTAAGATTGAATATTTTACTTCTTTAATTACGCATGCTTTGGACATTGATTTTTAATGTATGTCTACGTCTTTTTAATATTATTATCGTGCAACTTTTCTCGATGTATTTCTTTATGTCTCATGTCATTAATGGGTCCCAGCAATAGGTCTCATTGAATGCATGTAAGATGTTGAGTAATTTTATACATCAAGTGTTTATAAACCTTACAGAGTGCCCATGAAGGGGAAGTTTACGCTGTTAAATGGTCGCCTACCGACAGAACTCTGGCTACTGGTGGTGCTGACAGAAAAGTCAAACTTTGGAATATTACTAAAGGTAATTAACAAAATAATTATAATTTTGTTAATAGAAACTATAATTCTTAATAATAAAACAATATTTAAAATTCTTGTTCTGCACACATTTATTTACTTTCTAAAATACGTAATAATTTCATAAAAAAATAATTTAGTATTTAATAGTAATATATAATTTTGACTTATTATCACTTATCTTAATGTTTCAATTTTTATGAGAGTAAATAAAAAAATATAAAAGAGATTTTCTCGTAATATTAGTTGTTTAAAAAAAATCAAATCTTTAATTTTAAATTAAAATATATTTAAAGATTTAAAAATAAAATATTATTTATTTATTAAATTTTTACTGTCAAATATACGAGTGTATTTAAAAGCGCTTTAATCGAAATAAGAAAAAGTCTGTTCTTTAAGTTAATTAATTAATTAATTTATTTTATTTTATTTTTATAGATATAATATTTGGTCTTTTACAATACGCGCATATTTAATTTAGAGTACAAAAAGTGTAATAATGCAAGTGCAGCTAGAAAGAACAGTGACTTGAAGTTTACGCAAAATTGTTGCCGCGAGTGTCGATTGACTGCTAAAATGGAAGATGTAGATTCAAAGCGTTCGAACGCGTACGATTAGTCGGAGCATTCATGCGAATAAACAACACTTCGAACCGCTCAGTAGTCGTAAATATTGCGTGCAAACGTGAGATGATCTACCAGGAATTTATTTAGTGGTCTTATTATTCAAATTTTCACCGCGGCACGTGATGCGGTTGGGTTATGCTAGTCTCGTCGTTCGCATGCGCGTTTAAACGATGCGACTTTCGCGAAATGCATTTCCACGAACCGGTTCTTTGTCTCCCGGCATTTGCATTTGTCATTTTTCGCCTAATTTGCTTTTATCTGATCAACAAGAAACACAGTTTTACTGATTTGATCAAAATGTGATTACGAAGGGAAAGCATCTTTTGATTCACGAGAATAGCAGCCTGCTGTGTCATCGGTAATTATGACTTTATGATCTAATTACAGTTTACGTGCATAAAGTTGATTATGCGTAGTAAATCTCTATTAAAATGATAAGAACTGTTATATGCGCTAATACTAATAATGATCTTCACCGGCGAAATAACCTTAATTTTTTTGTTAATTTAACATAATAAAAATTTTTTTGTGAAAATTATTCGGTAATATTCTCAACAATAAATGTAAAATATTTCGCCTAAAAATGATTTGATAATATTTTCGGCAAATGAATGCAAAACGCTTCACCTGAAAATTAATATAACATAGAAATAAAACATATAAATGCATTTGCATGAAAATAATTCATATGTGTGAAAAGAAATATATTATTTATTTGTCAATGCATGTAATTTGCATTTGCATATAATTAACGTTGAATGAAAACATTTTCTGTCTTTATTACATTTCACAGAAAGCGTTTACTATCTTTCTATGCCTTTATTTGATACAGGCAACGGAATTGACTGCAATATTTTTTTCAGGAGATTCTCTGCGATTCACTTAATAAAGTATGATAACAAATCAACAGGTTACTTCGCACATTGTGAACGCAGTTCACTTTCGTGATGCCTAGTAAAAGCCTCCCTGCCGGCGAAATCGTTTCCCATGTTGTAACGAAGTGATCGCACATGCTGCAACGCGCTCTCGAATGTAATCTCCCCTCGCCCTCTCATTACAAATTGAATGAAACATTCGTCCTTATTGTATGGGTTATATCCGCTTAGCTCGAGATTTGCTATTCCGAATCTCCACGCATTCTCCATTTCTCGGCTTTGTTTCGCGCGCTTCTTCATTGCTCTCCGCCCGCCTCTATTTCTACGTTTCTCTCTCTGTCTCTCACTATCCGCATTGAGGCGCTTATAACCTGCTTCCCTAAGGATTACAGCGCGGCTTGCTCGCTGCCAATTAAACCGTCAGGGCATAAATTTAATTAGTTATATTCAGATAATAACGCGCAATAGACGAAAAGAGGGAAAGATATATATACATACAGAAAGAGAATGTAAAACAATCGTATAACGAGAAACAAAGTAATTGATGGAAGCACGTTAATGTGGATAATTGAACATCATTACATAATGTACATTGTTGCAGGCACATCTGAGAGCAAAGGCAACCTCGTTGGCAGCAACGCTGGTGTGATGTCAGTGGATTTCGACTCGACGGGCACGCTTATCCTCGGAGCATCTAACGACTATGCAAGCCGCGTCTGGACCGTCAGTGATTTTCGTCTAAAGGTAAGTGATAGTATTACAGTTCTGACCTAATACGTGGTCTCATATTTTTAATGCTCCACGGAAGCTCATGGGGCAATGTGATATTTACCAGATCTCCACAAACACGTAGAACACGTTTTTGTAATCTATTTCTGTATTTTCTGTTACTTAAACTTTTTTCTGTGACGCATAGCGCGCAGATATAATATAGACATAATGCCAAGATACAAAGTTATGACGTTTTATCAATCTGGGGCATATTTGCCTCGTATATGTTGCTATATATATATATTATTTTATATAATAAAAGGTTTATTGCGCGATGAAGGGGGTGGGGGAGATAATATTAAATATAAAAATTGCATACTCATTATAGATTATAAATGATAATGGCAGATTATTATCAAAATATATTTGCAGAAAATTTTAAATAACAAATTTAAATAATAAATTATGCATAACGCGATTAAATTTAAATACGAAAATTGTTTACAATATTAGCAAAAAGCGCCATATTTATCATATTTTTAATACTTGCTGAATGCAATAATTGCATTAAAATGCAATAAATGACATCGCAATAAGAAAAAGCGCGAGACTTTTTAAGCACGATTTAAGCATAATTTTAAACATGATTTCTAAAATTACTTCCCATAGAAGTACATGGTACGATTCATTTTCCCATCATATCTAGGTAATATTGGTAACTGTTTTTAAAGATTTAAATTCCCGACTTTCGATTGCCACTCAAATATGCTGCTGTTCGTTCGTAATTGTACCACGGTTCTATGGGTACTCACGGCAAAGCCGAATGTATTACGGAATTAGCGGCTTTATCCCTCTCGCGAAGAGATGAAACGTTCCGCGCAACAATACTCGAGCGAAATATCGAAAATTCATCCGACAGCGCTGAGTTTGCAAATTTTTTTAATCCGCAGATTACAGACAAAGCGTCGAAATTACGTCAAAAGTCGCAAATAAAACAGGGGCAAATAAAGATCGAAGTACGTCAAACTTTTTTTTCACAAGTGCAATGCATTATTAATCCATAAATTGTGTTTTTTTAATCTCGCGTTTTTTTTAAAGCTCTTTTAACCAGCTGACAGTTAGACCGTCAGAGTACCTATGGCCGTACTCAATCAAGCTTTCATACTGTATTGCGCGAGGTATAAACAAAAAGAAGTTACATTAAGATGGAACAAATGGCCTAACAGCTACAGTAATGAGACATGCTCGTCTCTCATCCTCGTGAAAACGTGATTAGCTGTAGGAACGTGTCCCAGGAACTGCATAAGGAGACGTCTCGCAAAACATTAAATTATAGGTCTGTTCCGAGGCAGCCCGTGAATTTACTAGCAGTAGAATGTGAAGTTTATTGTCACTTTCTTTCCTCACGATCCATTACGGTGCCAGCACATGTAAATCCATGACGGTGACGTGACCGTAAAGCCTATGACAAAAAGTCAGTCGAATCGCTCCGTAAACCTTATCGCGGACTTGTTCCTGCGTGCTCGTATGTACATTTCAAAAGGCGGCTCCGATGTTTCCTGGTTTCTTGACCTCGCTGTCCAAAGTTCGCCCGTTCGCTTGCTTCCGCTTCCTTCATCATCGCAACATCCGTAACAGAAAACTTTCGCGTTGCTCTCTGCGCTCTTGTGATAAGCGTGTCGACTTTTTTTCGCAATCCTTCATTTCCTGCTCTAGAAATATATATTGAGCGACAGGGTGCTAAATTGTTCATCATTTCTGGTAATGTTAGAGTGTTGAATTTGTTAGTAAAATGTTCTCGATAATATTTGAATATTTTCTGCAGTGTATTACACAATCCCGTGTATTACTAAATTGTTGGTCATACGTGCAGTAATTTTAAACAGTTTTTATGGCACATAGATATTATTCAAAGTAATATCCTTTTTTAATTTTTTACGATCACGGCGTATTTTTGCCACTCGACTAATTCAGATAAAAGATTAACTAAATTAAAATAATCCGCGGTAAGACCAAGAGTTAAGCCGATGACCAAAAATGTGCGAATTAATTTCCAGTTACTTAATATTCATCGATTTTTTAGCGGGTCTGGGAAAGCATTAATATTTTATATTACTCGTTAATTACTGAATAATTACATGCAATTTATAACCCGCGCGTAAATGTTGTTTTAACGATATTCTGAGAATGTAGCAAGCATAAATGATCAGTTTCAAGCTTTAATCTCACAGTAACGATGGTATAAATTACATGATGGAAGTTTTAGTTAGACGATGCGCGTCAAATGTGACGGTTGAAGTTTAGCATATGACAGTAAATGCTGATCACTCCTAATGTACGTTATCTCCTTTGATCTTCGCCCGAAGCCGGGCTCTCATATGTAAGAACTTAAGCACATGGTTGTCAATAGTCTGCATGTGTGCAGTCGTGTATGGAAGAGTAATCACTGATGATCGATTGCGATGAAACTTCGAGTCCCACGCCGTACATACACCCGACCTGCGCACCTCGTTACTTTGATAGGATTGTCAGAGTGTCGTACTGATGTAACATGATTAAACGCTGGAAGCAACCGGCGATGATTGTCGGCGAAGCCGACGGGAATCGACGGACAGTGGAGGCTTCTGCTTCTGCTAATCCCGCGACCGGTCTTTGCAGTTCTAGATGAAGCTGAACGGTACTTTGATTTGTGCCGTGTATATGATCAAATCAGCCGTCCGGCAGTTTTATCGCAAACATTCTTTTACAATCGATTCGCAGAAGTCACCGACGTCCAATCGATTCGTCGCGGTGCGTTTGCCAAGACGTATTCGTAAATAACTTATTCTTGCGAACGCTAACAATACCGTGCGAGAATTCACCGCGCGAGAGGTATCGAGGTAATTTCTCTTCTTGGAGCAATTACATACGTATCCATGTTACATTACATGACAAGATTCAGCGAAGACGCTTCCGTTGGTTCGCAGTGCAGCGAGATTGGGTCGATAGTCTGTCTGTTACCAGCCTTGCGATTCCATTACATACTTGATACGTCGTTTCCAAGCGTCATTGTATAAGTTGGCGCTTGTTCCGCATGCAATAATACCGCCGTTTACAGCACGGCGGTTACGAGCAGAATACAGTATAATATATCCGCGCGCGAGCATACGTGAGCCAGCATATCGCTCACTTATCGCCCCATGTGTTAAACGTGATTATTCGACACGTCGGGGAATCGTAGCTGCCGTTTCGCGCGAATTATGAGTTCCGTCCAGTCGACTGGATCCTTGCCTTTTTCCGTGCGCTTCCTCGCTCTGCTATCGCTCTTACTTACTTACTTTTTCACGCGCCGTTCGTGAGACGGGGCTCGCCGAGAGTCCACTGAATAGCGGCTGTTTCATTCCGAAGATTGGTGGCCAATGGCGCGTAAACTCACGCGAGAAACAACACGCGGACTCTGAGAGATTCGAGCCATAACTAGTCTGTAGGTTATTCAGGCTGAGAGATGCGAGAGCTGACCACCTGATGTTTATTCTCAAGTGCATTCCCCGTCTCGGGAATGTAGCAACATCTGTCGATTTTAACAAAATACGATTTTTTCCACAATTCTCGCCGTTGCGGTATCCGTGCTTGTTTCTGTAGATTACAACATTGTCCTCTTTTTACAATAGCTTTTTACGTGATTGAAAATTTGTAATATATTCAACATGAATTTTCTTTCGGTAGAATGTGAATTTTTGCAATTTGTGTTATTTGTTATTTTTTGTTGAAGTTTTTAATTGCTATATTTAAGAATTTTAAGCAAACAAAATCGACAAATGTGTTTATGTTATAAGAGTATGATATATCAAAACATTTGGCACAGAGAATTTAACATCCATTAGTAACCATACAATATTTTGGGTATATGCAATACACAATATATATATATAAAATATATTATTTTCGCAATATTTTGATGAATATTTTGTTACTGTCTGCATTATTAACGGAGAAAACCGCATAGCCGCAGCATAACGATTAAGTTCATAATCTCTTTATGTGATACGAGTAAAGTGGTGAGAATTTTGAGCCTTAGTAATTCGCAGGACGGTGTAAAATAAGAGTATTAACGCGGGATTATTATCGGCCGTGAAAAATATATTTCATCATTGGGGAAAAATTGAGAGTGGAGAGACGCGGTAAAGTGGCTATTTAAGATTTTTTCTTTTTCCTCGATCTTTCTTCTCGATGTCCTTTTTCGAGAAACCATATCTCAGACACTTTCTTTTGTCGCAGTTTTACTTCTTAAATTTTATATTTCTCGCTCCAGACTCTTGTTTGTCACCTCGCTGGTAAGGAAACGGCGCGTTAAACGAATATCGATGGTATTGGTGGGTACCTGGCCAGGGCGATAATGGACTCAATTTCGCGGCGGTAGGGCGTCGTCAGCCGTGGGGTTTCCTCGTGTGCCGCCACTCCTATCGATTCGCCGGCGGTGGCTGCCGGTGGTTTCCCGGTTGTGTCTGGCACTGGCGAACCGTCATACTTCCTCCGGTTGCGCGGCTTCAATCTTCTCGTAAGAGACGTAATCGCTCGTACTTTCCATCGTCCGCGACCGTTCGTGCTCCTCATTACACCGTGCCCGTCTTGTCTTAATCTTGACTAATGAGTAACAAGCGACGCTGACGACGAACGAGTCCGATGTTCTGTAAATCGAATAACTGGAGAGAGAAAAGGGGAGTCGCTCTAATTGCTGTACTTCAGTTAATTCGATCGAGCGCCTTTCCGGAAGTTGCAGTGTCCTTCGTGGACGACGCTGGAATCCTTTCAGACTTTACTCGACGGCGTAGTTCCATTTAATAATATGTAACGTCGGAGATACTGTAATTGCTCATTTAAACAATATTAAATTGTTTTTAAATGTTAAATAGTGTCATCCTGCTTTAACGCATCGGTAATTCGGCGCTGTAAATTATAATTTTTAAATCGTTGATTTCTTGTCGTTTTTTAATGCTATTTTTTAACCTGACTTATTGAGAGACAGAAAAAAATGTAATTTTGTGCGAATATCA